TTATGACCATCTCAGGGGCTTCAGTTTCAACAGATGAACTTTAGGACAGTGCAGACATTTAAACCTTAACAGTGGGTATTTAGAATTTGAAGCAATTTTACAATTACAGCAGTTTAACATTTGCTACACAATTTTATGCTAGGATTAAAAAAAATCATTTAAGTGATTTTTAAAAATGATTTGTATTGCCATGTGCAGTCACAAATGACTAAGATTCTGACTGATAAAAGATAAGGCATACTTGGCGTGAAGTTTTGGGTGGAGAAGATTATTTGACACAGTTTTGAGAGGCTGAAAAGGGGGAAATGGGATATAATGAGTGGAAGCAAATTTAGTGGTTTAGGGAGGAACAGATGAGTAGTTAGTTGTGTGAAGTGAGAAAAATTAAAACACTGTAATGGAGGACAGAGTGTAAGTGTAGAGAGGTACACAAAAAGACCAAAGAAGCAGTTTGGCAAGAGGGGTGGAAAGGAGAATTTAGACATCAGGAGTTATCTGGTTCAGAGTAGCAAGTGACATTGGGACCAGTAGAGTCGGGGCTTACCATATGGCCTACATATGAAGAAGCAGATGGTAAGAAGCTCAGCTGCAGAAAAGAAATTTGCGTGGCACACCAGAGGTATAAGGGGCATAGCTATTCAAGACTACGAAACTTTTGAGTTGATTCAACACAGAGTTAAATAGGACTCTGGTTTAGTCTCCTTTGACTCTTACTCCATTTATATTATCATTTATGAAATTACGAAGTGCCAAAATCAAAGTAACTACTTTTTTATTTAAAGAATTATTTAACTTTATTTATCTACTTATTTTAATAGCAACTTTCGACAAGATGCTTCCTTTTTTCAGCCCTCCAGTTCCCAAGAATCCTGTGTGCCTGTGTGCTTGCCTGGCATGTGTTCAGGCTGACCTGGGGATCTGAATCTGTTGTTGATTTGTGTCTTCCGGCCCTTTGTGGGTGCTGCATTTTACCACCAAGCCATAGCATCTGAGCCAGCATTTTCTCTTTGAAGGGAAATCTGAGTATGTCTCTCAGTGGCTGCCACAGCAACCTTTGCTTAAATATTTCCCGAAAATTTGTTAGAGAAGCCCCAAGGAAGTGTCTTGCTAGCCTATCTTGACATAGTGCCTCTCCCTTAATCAGCTTGTATTCCAGGGGTTTTCATGGGGCTGGTGTATTCTTTGGTAGGCTTGAGTCATGCGCCCATTCCTGTGGCCATGAGAAAGGTATAGGAAGAGTGGGAGTCAACCGACACAGGCCAGATTCCCTCCGTGAAAGTAGAATTCTGTTACTAGAGAGTGGTAGTGGATGCTGAAGAGAAACAATATTTTCTATAATACTTCTTTGTTACATTAAATTGTGGGTGAGATGGGGATGGTATAGAAAAGGCAGGGTGTCAAATGTAAAGAAAAGCATAGTGAAAACCCTAAAGCACATAGGAAGGCAAAGCCTATGTATGGTGTGCTACATGACAAATGAAAACAGAAAAAGAATGAAACCTATTTTCAACTGGACAGTTCTTTATTACTACTTTAAAACTGACCACTAGATGGTAATACAGGAACTTAAAATAGCCATTAACGTAGACATTCACGACCCATTCATCTAGATAGAATCGTGTCCTATGTCTTATAGGCAATGCCATTTATTGAGTGAGGAAGTACCCTTCTAAAAATTGCATTTGTGCTAAATTAGTGGTAAAAGAAATTTGAGTGATTTTATGGACTTAGGGAGGAAGGCCGGTGAAGAATTACTGCTTCCTGTGGTCTTTTGTGAATCCTCAGGAGATGTACCAAAAACAACCTTTTGATGGTTAGAGGAACAGTTTCTGATGGCGTCTGTTTGTTAGGTCACTTTAGGAAAAAAAGAGCTTGCAATTAATCAGCATGGTCATACATTTCTAGTTCATTGGTATTCTGGACCCTGAGTGACATAGTTCCTATGATCTTTTTATGATGGCAGTAGCCCAATTAGTCTATTTACATAGTTGGGCAAGGACAGATTAGCATACTAAAACAAGCTAAGTGAAGATAGAGATAATGTGACTCCGTAAGTGTGAAAGGTAATCATTGAAAATTATTATCTTTCAAAAGTTTGTACATTTATTTCTTCCCAAAGAGGGACAGCACCCCTAACAGAGTGAGAGCCACCACTAGCTTTAGCCAGCTTCAGATAGTGGACACATGAGTAACTTGGTATATACTTAGGGAGATCTATGGCTGTGAGTTGAGATTCTTCCCTACATGGGTCAGATTTTTTTAAAAAACATTTAAAAAAATTTATTCATTTACTTTAATTTGGTCAGAGAGAGACATAGAGAAAGAGAGAGGGAAAGTGAGAAGGCAAGCCACTAGATCTGGGACTTGAACTGTGGTTGACCATGTGGCAATGTGCAGCTTAACTCCCATTCCACCTTCTGGTCTCCAACACATAGGTCAGCTTTGCATTATGTTTTACTGCTGTGCTACCATCTGGCTTTCAGAAAAAATATTTTTACTTATAAGAGGAATATATAACTTTAGATAATGCAAGAATATAAATAATGAAATTAAAATTGTATTTATTATGGGTAAAAGCGTGGACATTTATTTTCTTCTAATGATTGCCTGCATATAATGAGGTATTATTATATTTCCTAATTTCTTAATAAATAATGCATAATTTTCTATACTTATACACACTATAAAATTATATGCATATAATTTTGCATAGTTGAAACATTAAAACCTCACCATAATTATATGAATAGAGCTTAAAAATTAAATCCTGTACTAGTTCATTTTGTTTGGAGGTTCTAGAGGTACTTCTATTATATTCAGATTATGTTTTTAGGAGTGTCTTTGAGTTTTACTATAGTTTTTTTTACTATATTTTAAATAGTTTTGCATTCTTTCACATAAGATGAAGATTGTTCCTATGCAGTTTTTAATAATAAATATTTTATATATTTATGCCAAATTTAACCTTTTCTCTATCGTTGAATGCTTAAATGGCTTCCAATTATTTGTGTAACAGAAAATTAAGTGGGACTTTTCTTGTTGTAATAGAATTGTAGTTTAGGCTCCAAGGCTGAAAACCGGCAGTAATTACTTCCACATCTTTTTTTTAAAAAATTATTTATTTAAATTTGATTATAGAGGGAAAG